TATTCTTCTCAAGATATTCCAATAAATCTATAATTTGCCTTACATTATCCTTCATATATCTGCCTTCTATAAATCCTGCTTGATTATGATGAATCACCTCTTGGATAACTGGCATTAATCTGTTGGCTAATACTTTTGCAAAAATTTTATAATCCGTATTCAGGAGAGATATTGATCTAAAATTTTCCGGTTTTGTAGAACCTGCTTCCTCCTTCGGTATCAATGAAACAAAAGCTGCTTTCCATGAAGAGGATATTTTACCTCCTTGTTGTATGCTACAAAATAAGTCTTTAAGATGTTCAATCATTTCTACTTGTAAGGTTTTATAATACACCGCAGTTAAACCATCCATCCCTGGAGCTTTAGCTGTTTTCAGTTGTTTAATAGCAACGATAATCTCCTCAGCTGTTATTGGTTGACTCGTTCTTTCCTTTTGATCACTAGAAATTTTCATAACTCTCCTTTCTTCTAGGTATTTATTTATAAGTTCATTCTGTATATCATCTTTGGCATATAGTTTGGTATAGTAATCTAAGAAGGCTTCTTTGATTAATCTTTGTTGAAAAACTTCCTTCCCTCCATACTCAATACTACCGATAGTCCGAGTACTCTGCTGCTTCCTCAATGTGTAAGCCAGGCACCTGCCCGGTTTATTAGTGTTACAAAATGTATTATGTTTCACAAATTGTAAATTAGTTGCTGCTTATTCCGCTATGAGCATTTGAAATTGATCTTTCAAAAGTTTTATAATTCCTTGTAGTTTTTCATCTGTTGGATTTTTTATAAGTAACTGTTCCTTTTTCTTTATCTCTCCTTCCATTTCTAATCTTTTTCTTTCTCGATTTAATTTATGTTTAGAATTCATATAGATCAGTACCCCCCGCATATACGCCTTGCTTGCATCCCAAACAATTTCAATAGGGGTACCCTTATTCAAATTCATTTCAAAAAATTCCTTCATTTGTTTTTTGAGTTCATTTACATTCTTTTCATATCGAAACAAATTTTCATTTACTCTCCATGATCTTCTCTCATTCTTTCCCATTTCTATTTCTATCCATACTGGGCTATGGTCAGTTAAAGTCCTCGGAAATATCTTTGTTTTCTTTGTTTTTAGAAGTAAATCAGCCGTAAGTAGGATAAAATCAATCCTAGAGAAGGATCTATGTCTGTCTGAGAAAAAAGTAAAGTCCAGTTCTTTTGGGTTGTGCAGTCTCCATATGTCTTTCAATTCCAAATCTTCTTTCATATCGAAAAAAATCTGTGGTAATTTAACACATGACTTTGCCAAACTCTTTTTGTCTTTTTTAGGATCTATTACTCCATTCCAATCTCCCATAAGTAATATAGATCTATAATTCCATTGTAATATTTTAGAGTACAATATTTTGTAAAAATTTTCTTGTTGCTGGTTAGGAGTGTAAATTCCAATCACCAAAATTGGACCATTATATGTGTAAAGTTCAATTGCTATATATCTTCCACAATCATCTGCTTCTATAATTTTAGCTGACAATCTTTTATTTATATAAATCATCACACTGTTCTTTTTCTCCAAATTTGAGGCTATAAATTGTGCTCCTAATCTAGAATTTATCAAATATTTTTGATCTTGTGTTCTAATATGAGTTTCTTGAAGACAAATAACATCATTATTAAATTGTCTCAGATAATTAAATATTTTCCTTCTTTTCTGTGGTGAATTCAATCCATTCACATTCCAGGATAGAAACTTAATTGTCATTTATAGTCTCCTGAAGCGTTAAGAGCATTTGCTGAAGTTTCTGTTCCAGACTGGTAGTCTTCGGCTTGGCTCCTCCCATAGCTTCAGATTTTTGTGTTGGCTCCCTTCTTATCTTGTGGTGGCTTAGACTTCTGCTGTTGTTGTTTCTCTAGAATTTTTTGTAAGCTGATCGAGTTATACGCTGATCTTTAGCTTTATACGACATCAAGTCGAAATCCACTACCACTTCTCTTGTATTTTTGGGTGATCCACCTATAGCCTCTAAAGGAAGATCCAGCAACGGTTCATCCAAAACCCCCTCTGTTGCTCCTTGAGTTTCCATTGCGTCCACCTCCATCTGTTTCCGCTGCTCTTCAGACTCTTGTTCAGATTGCTTCTCTTTATCACCCTCCTCTATACCTAACACTGAAGATGTACGTGGAGATGTTGGGCCAGTTTTAAAAACATTGAAGTAAAAGTCTTCTGCTTTTTCGACAGTATTTAATCAATATCTCTCTCCTTGATACCTCAATATTATGCCAACTGGAGCGTCCCATCTGAATGGAATTTGTTGTTTCTTTAATTCAGTCACCAAGAATCCAAAATCCTTTCTGTCTCTTAGCATCTTAGGCGGCAACTCTTTATAAATCCCAATCTCCCTTCCATCCACTTGAATAGTAGAAACAAAAGACTTTTGCAAGATATCATTTCTTATTCTTCTATCTGTAAAGTAGATCACCACATCTCTAGGCAATTGCCTTTCCCTTGCCACCCAAGAATTCACTCTGTAAACCTTGTCCATCTTGCACAAAATCTCTTCAGGGCTAACCTTTAGCATCACAGCCATGGCATCAGCACAAACCTTTGTCAAATCCTCTCTGTTGTTTTCTTTTATTCCTCTCAGTCTTACAGCAAACTCCATAAATCTAAATTGCATCATTGTCACTTCATTTTCAATCCTTTGCGTTTTATTGTCCACATTGGAAATTTTATAATTAGCTTCCTTCATTTTAGATTCTACTTCTGAACTAAGTTCTCCCACTTTTTTATCAATCTGAACAACTACTTCTGACAAGCCAGTCACAACTGTCAGTATGTCTCGCTTCATCTTATCATACTTTTCTTGAACCACCTCCTTAATTTCCTGTTGAGATTTTTCAAATTTCTGGTCCATAACTTCATTTTGATTCATCAGAGCCGCAGCAATAAATTCCTTCAAATCTTTAAAACCAGTCTCCTGTGCTTGGCTCTGAGTCTGCAAACTTAATGGCTGCTCTTGTGACTTATGAGTGGGGGAGCCCCCCCCCCTACAGCTTTAGTGGCTGGCTTTGTCTGCTTCGAAGCCATTCTGCCACGCAGTCTGACTCTTTCTAAGAAGGAAGCCTTCCCTCCCTTTTCACCACCACAGAATCCTCTCAGAAATTTCCCCAGCTTTAAACAAGTCTCTAAGGGAGAAGGAACAGATCAAAATCACTTAAAAAAAAACTTTTCCCTTTTCTTCTAGTCAGCGCTGTTGCTTTAAGTACTTTGTAACATGTTGAGACAATCAGGCAAATCCACTTTCACTTTCAGCTTTTTTCCTACCGCTGAAGCCGGACGCCATTTTAACAAACTTTCACTCTTTCTCCGTTCTTAAATTCAATCACAGGGCTAATACAAATACTTGCAGTTTTGAGTTTCAAGTCCAGATTTCACCGTTTATTTTTAATAATTCTCTTGAATTTCGCTGGTTATGTTGGTCGCGTCGTCTGGCTCTGCTGGATGCAGAGTTGTCCCCGGAGTCCGGAGCCTCGGCGAGCTGGATAGGGAGCCTCACCCTGCTTCCTCCCCAGAAGCAAAAAAGACAATCTGGGGACTTCGCAGGGAGCTCTACCTGGTCTCTCCGGCTCTCCTCACGTTTCCTCAGGAACACGGAGTTTTTCAAGCCGCCTCTCAGCTGTAGAGGCGGCTCTTTACAGGCGGCGGGGCTGGTGGTCTTAAAGAGACTGTCTAGCGACGACAACGGCACCAACCGGAAGCCATCATTTGACACATCTCTAATGTAGCACACATGCTCAGTAACTTTAGTATGTAGCATGTAACATTCCTTAGCATTCTTAGTATGATCTTGTTAATGCTAATCTTCATATTCAAGAGGTGTTGTTGTTACATTATAATAAGGTATAATGAATTTTCAAGTTAACTGAAGTTTTAGTCAATGTCCATGATAGGTTTGAACCAGTTCTCTTATCAGGCATTACATAGCTTTCTTTGTTTATCCAAGAACTAGAAACATTAGTCAAAAAGATTCCTAGTTACTGAAACCATTAATCAAAGAGTCCATCCTGAACCCTATCATCCTTCTTCCTTTTTTTTCTAAGTTTTTAAAAATCATGTTACTAATAGAAGAGAATATTTGTAGCTCATGGTTGAACTAGGGTCCTTGATGCTCTCTGAACTTGACTGTTTTCCCACACTGGTAATGTTACCTAGTTTGATAATGAAATATATGAAAACAACCATGGCCAGAGAGCATCAAAGACCTTCAGTTATGTTAGTTTAGGAAGTTTGTTAAATCTTATGGGGCCCTATTCATGTTGTCATAATTATGATTTTTTTTCCTTCTTATGACCAAATAGCTATTTCTGTCTTTTCTATATGTAAAAGTATTTTCTTACCCTTGATACCAGATGTCTATGGCAGGGGAATCTGATAATTGTAACTGTTCATACAACAAAAGTACTGGGGGAAAAAAGGACAAGTAGCCCTGTTGATATCATCATCACGTCCAAAGGACCAGTTGAAAATTTTTGAAAGATACCCTGAATTTGAGGCTAGTTGTTCCTGAAGGACATGCTGAGGGAAAGCACTGATTAACCGCTAGCAAATTGCCTCGGAAAACCAAAATCCATGAAATAAAAAAGCATCAACCTTTCTGGCCATTTTTCGGGCACGATGGAAGCATTTTAGAATTAACCGTGCGTCCTCATTTAAATCTGCATACTTTAAATTCAGTATTTGCAAAAAAACAACAAAAAAAGGTGTACCCTTCGTAAAGAAAAAAAACCATGCTTCCCGCTAATCCGTTAATGCGCTATCAGTGCAAAATAGACCACTGCCGCGACGCAAAATAAGACTTGGCAATTCAAGGTGATTTCCTGCCGGCTACGCTACGTTACGTTTGCCGCGGAGACCCCTTTTTTTTCGCCTGCCCTTCACGTCATTCTCTCCCCGGCACGTGTCCTCAGACCCACCCTGCTGCTACGGACTTGGTGGGTAAGCCAGCCCCTTCCCTTCCAGACACGCGCGCGGGCCCGCAATTCCCCCGGCGCTGCTCATACAGGAGCTTCGAGGAAGGTGGGAGAGTGCAACTCGGGGGAGCTGCGCGATCCCGGCCTAGGAACAGGTAGAGTCCTCCGACAGCCAGGCGCGCTTTGCATTGGAGCTTCGCCTCTGGGACTTGATGTGTGCTAGCCTCCGGATATTGAAATGATCCCGAGCCGGAGGGGTGCTCGGGCGCTGGCTGATCCTGAGGCCGGCCGGATGCGGGGCCCCGGCTGGGGAGGCTAGGGGGCAGGCCTCGCCTGGCTATGGGCTGCTTGCAGAGTGTGGCGTGCAAGGCGCGAGTGCGCAGGGAGAACATCGTGGTATACGACGTGTCGGCCTCCATCGAGCCGGGAGCCACCGCCATCGAGGAGACATCGCCCATCGTGCTGCGCTACCGAACGCCCTATTTCCGCGCCGCCGCTCGCGTCCTTATGCCGCCTATCCCGCGCCGTCACACCTGGGTGGTGGGTTGGATCCAGGCCTGCAACCACATGGAGTTCTACAACACCTACAGCAACCTGGGCATGTAAGTGGAGCGTGGGGGGAGCAGAGCAGCCACGGGAGCGAGCAAAGGGCGACGCCTTCGCTACGGTTGCCAGTCCACCCCTAACGACCAGAGTCGTTTAGAGGGTATCATTTTGTCTCCCTAGTAACCGATTCGCCACCAAAAAGAGGCGGTCCCGCGGGAGAAAGCATGGACTTGGCGATAGCGATGCCCTTTATCTAGGCAGATGGTCTCCTCGCAAAGGACATCTGCGGACTCTGCCTGCGCAAATAGTGCCTGTGCCCTCTAGCAAATATGGCTGCCCCCCCCCCCCCCCTTCAGTCAGAAGGAAGACTCTCCTTTATGTGGCAGACAACAGACTTCCTTTGGGCACCAGTGCCCTTGGCTGCTTTTTGCGTGACTAATAGGTGTGGTGGAGGAGACATTCTCCTAGGCATTTCCCTGCCTGCCAATCACAACTTCAACCCTCACTGGGGTTTGTGCATTAAATAGCAGTGCACACTTTCAGTATGCACCATCTTCAGTAAGCTTTTGTCACTGCCACTGGTTGAGGGAGTGAATGAAATTATAGAAAGTTGCTCTCTGTATTTTTCCTTATGTTTTATGTGCCATCGCCAAATTACACAAGGTACAATTGATCCATGAATAAAATAATTCAAACCATAGAAATGCTACTTCAGTCAAGAGCTCCCTGGGTATTTCAGCTAAATAAAAAATACAGTAGGGAAGATTCATGTAAAAAGTGGATTGGCCCTTTGTTGTTTAGTTATGTTAATATTTTGCTCTCTTCTTTGATTTTCAACATCTATAGCAACAGGCACATAGCTCCACAGTGATGCCAATTTAAAGAAGTCAAGCAGGTGACTGATATATCATCATGGCGCTGGCCTTCATTTCTCCTTTCCTAAAGAATGAATCCTGGACAGAATGCTTTCATTGCCAAAATTACTAATTTACCCTTGAAAGTATGAAAATGGCAATGCACACATTTAATCTGGATTTGATTTTTGTGTATTTAGATTGCTTGGACTTTTGAGGCAACCATACAATAGTCCCCTGTACAACCAGAATCTTTTCTGTTCTTGACAATAATAGTTGACATTTCAATACCACTTTATTTCAGAACTTCTTAAGATATCTCTGTAAAAACCATGTTACTGAGATTAGCTTTACCAAGAATTCCTGCCAATGATTCAGTCAGTTTTACAGCAAGCTTGTTAATTGTGGATGGTATATATGTGTGTGTGTGTGTGTGAACATCTGTCTAGGAATTCAGTAACATATTTGTTAGAAAAGTCATTTAGCCTTGATATTAAGATATATGTAAGGATATTGGTACATGTATATTAATGATATATACAGGCTAATATTATTTCAACATTCTCTATAGTAATTACCAAACTATCAATTTATGCAAATACTAGAACACATCAGCAGCATAGAAAAATAAAGATATATTTTCTTTAATTCCACAAAATATAAAATGAAATTATCTTTGTCCTTGTGATAGTAAAGACTGAGTTGGTCTGATAGGCCTTGTAGAAGAATTAACCATAGTTTTTCTCAGAAAAAAAGCTTATTTGTTGTTACTTTGGGAATCAATTATCAGGGAAACCAAGGCTTTTTGTGACTTTTAAATATAATATTAAATTGCCTTCTGAATTGATCATCATACTTCCTAATGTATTTTTTTCTTAATGATTTCTCTGCCTGGCCTTCATTGATATCCTATAAAAGACTGTCAAATTTATAAAGCAAATACCAGGGTATTCTTTGTTATTTCATTGTTAGAATTAAAGAACTCATTTGTCTCCAGTTTTTCACAATTATTATTGTATCTGCTACTTACAAAGATACAAATATGATGGATAGATACAATTACTTCTCAGTTTTGATCATTTGAGAAGGGTTTTTTCCCTTGGTGGATGCAAAAACAAACTTCTGGGCGTCTTCTGATGCCCAGAATGTACACATTCTGATGTACCCATTGCTGTGCTTCATCCTGTGTGCCTTCTCGTATCTGTGTTAATTCAAAACATCTATGTATTCTATTCCCCAGTTGCCACATGAAATTCCTCTTGCATTATTTCTTTTGATTCTTTAGTATTACTGCCTTAAGGCATTTTCTCAGAGATAACAATTTCATCCCCAAACCATCAGAAACATTTTTGAACTGCTAATGAGTATTCTTTCTCTTACAATCCCAATTTCATATATTAACCTACCAGGATTTCCTCCCTCCACCACTCTTCCCTTACCCATATCTTTGTTTTTCTGGTAAGGAAAAGGAAAAAGCAGATATCTGCTCAAAATAAGCCCAGTGAAATAATGACAGGTATTTGGCATCTTGTTTTCAGCAGCAGAAAAGTTAATTAGCTGGGGGCAGGATGAAGCAGAAGATCTTACAAATGGGAAGTCATCTACCTCAGGACTCAGGAGTTAATATCACTGAAGTGCTTCCACAGCATTCCTCCTGATCCAGAGCTGAGATAGAAACTGGTCAGCTGTGCAACAGAAGCTTAACAACATTGTGGTATACAGAGGGGATTCTTAAAGGACATGCTTGCCTTAGGTTTGATGTGTTGTTTCATTTGTTATAGAGGTGGGACCGGTACTGAATGCCCTCTCTAACTTGATTGTTGGATTGCTGCCATTTTCAGGTATTAAAAGACACTTAAACCCTCAAATAGGCATATTCCAATTTTAAAGGCCCAGTGCTTCCTCAAAATACTGCCCTTCCTCCACAGAATGGTAAATGCCTTCTTAATAGGCTATCTCCCAGAGCAGCAATTTAGATCACAAATTAAGAAACACTCTTGTTTCCTAAGGTTGTTGTTATCTTTTTACCAGGCATTGTCAAGGATAAGTGAAGCTGCTAAGACTACAAGATATCTTGTTGGTCTGGAGCAGAAAGCTCAAATCACTATATTCCCCACACATCTTCATAATCCCTGAACCACCAACAAAGGGAAGTGATAGACAGGGCCGGATTTTCCTATAGGCTAACTAGGCTTCAGCCTAGGGCCTCAAGATCAAGAGGGGCCTACATTCAAATTGTTAGCAAAATTAAAATTACATTTTCACTATAGGTGAAAGGGCCTCATAAGTGGAATAGCCTAGGGCCTCTTTTCATCTAAATCCGGCCCTAGTGATAGAGGAGACTGGCAAGGCACATCTGGATATGCATAGTTTCTTTGAGATTAGAGGTCCCTTTTCCAAAGAAACCTAATACATTGAATTAAAGACCCGGCTAGACTTGGGCAGAATAGTAATTTAAGTCCCAGAGTTTCCAAGGGTGGTTCCTTGCTAGGACTGTTTAGGACCATAAGTGGAGGACAGGACAGAAAACAACAAGAAGTTGTGGAGAAACTGAAGCAGTGGCAGAGATGATAGACATTCTGGCTGACAGGCATTGCTTCTGTTCATTCCAAGTTGTTACTGCAAAAATTATTCTGTAGGTGCTGCAGTTTATCACCATTATTTGTAATCTGCACCCATCATTTACTCCCTGTTCAAATTTAAACCCCATCAGATTCATATGTCTACTTGATATAATCTGTTATGGTTGTTTACTTAATTCATAGTCTTATTGTTCTTTGAACAGAAGTTGAGGGAAGCTGGCTATGAATATAAAACAAACCAGTTTATGAGTGTGCCCAGCTTCACAGGCATGATCTGATGATGTCACAACTGAAAATACACATAAAATCAATAGAAAACTTAAGTATCTGTGAGACTTTAGCAACTAGACTAGAAGACCAAAGCAATCAACCTGATCTTGCAGCCTGAACTTTCACGACTTTCCAAATAAACTTATTCAAGAAGTAAGATGGGAAGCAGCAGAAACTATGCTTGACACAAATATCTTGGTTACTCAAAATTTGTGTGAATGTGCTTAGTGTAATAAGTTCTGGCAGTCAGAAGAGTAGTAGAACAGCCCATAGTAGATAGTTGACACAGGCTTGTTTACAAGGTATCAAAGGGTTTAAAGGGGTGCAACAGTGGTATCCCAACACCAGTCTCCATCTGTCAGGGAGATTGAAAGTTTCAAGGAAGGAGGCAAAAATCTGGAGGCATCCATTATCTTCTTTTCCAACTTCTTAGTTGGAAGGCTTTAGGTTTGTAACCTGCTGTTTGCTTCATGCACTGATAAGATGCTACCAATTCCTTTTTGCTAACATAACTCTCCTGCTGCAATGACAAGGAAAAATGTCTGAGGAAAAGGGAATCTATAAGTTGGTTATTTATTCATTAGAAATATTGGAGAGAAAGTATATTGAGTGGATTATATGATAATATGTCCACATGAGTGAAGATATTTAAATAAACTAGTAAATGCCCATACTGAACAGTTTGTGGCTATATGTATGTTGACATCAATAAAGTTATAAAGTCCTGAAAGAAAAAAACAAAATAGTGTAATATTCAGTGTAAATAAATCATAAGATGAAGTATATTAGAGCGATATATGCATGTTGATGAGCTCTGAGAAGGCAGTGTTTGCTTTTTGTGTATAATTTTTATTAAAGAAATTTTAAAAGAATAAAAATGCAAATTTTGAAAAAGAAAAGTAAGGAAAACAAAGATAGGTAATAAGTAGGAGAAAAAAGTACAAAGAAAGAAATAGAGAAGAGAAAGAAAGAAAATAAAAAGTTATGAAGATGTGGCTTCCAGCAGTTATAAGTACATTTATATTGTACCTTCACTCTGTAAGGTTACAACATAATTTCCTTTTTTCCATAATCTACCCTTTCTGATTATCAAATCCATAAATCACAACTTCATTTTCTTTTCTTTTTTCAGCAAAAAGTCCATGAAGGGTTTCTAGTCACTAATATAGTTACTGTCCTTTCTCTAATCAAACAAATCAAGTTTGCAATCTCTGCTAATTCTGTCATCTTCACCAACCATTTCTCCATTGTGGATATTTCAGAGTCTTTCCATTTTTGTTCACACAATGTTGCAGGAGTTATATACAAAAAAGATTTTTCATAACTTTTCTAATTCTCTAGCCATTAGGAAAAGGTCTGGTTTGAGAAAACAGAGATTGACTTTAAAAAGATCTTAAGAGTAGTTTGATAAAAATATAAATAGCTGTGCAGTAGCTTTGAAAGTGCAAATGCATGGTGGAGATGATTAGAAAAGGTCTAATAGGAAAAGAAAAAAGAAAAGTCATCAAAATGCCCATGATACGGTATCATAGAGCTGGCGAAGATACAGAAACAAGTAATAAAAGTTATGGAATATTTAAGAAAAAATATGTATGTTTAGGAACAACAAAATAAGAGGGGACTTTGGAGGTCTTCTAGTGCAACCCCCTGCTCAAGCAAGAAAACCTATACCATTTCAGACAAATGGCTCTCCAATCTCTTCTTAAAAACCTCCAATGAGGAAACACTCAGAACTTCTGAAGCTAAACTAGTGGACTGATTAATTGTTCTCACTGTCAGGGAATTTCTCCTTATTTCTAGCTTGGTTCTCTCCTTGATCAGTTTCTATCCATTGCTTGTCCTGCCTTCAGGTGCTTTGGAAAATAGATTGACCCCCTCTTCTTTGTAGCAGCTCCTCAAATATTGGAACACTGCTACCATGTCACCCCAGTCCTTCTTTTCACTAGACTAGACATACCCAGCTCCTGCAACCGCTCTTCATATGTTTTAGCCTCCAGTCCATTAAAATAGTATTATAATAGTAATAAATTATAATAGTAATATAAATAAGAGGTGTAACAACAGAGATGTATGTCACCTGTAATATTAACACAATAATAGAGAAATGCTTCCCTCATAATATTAAATCCAGAAATTTCCAATAAAGTAGCATGTTAGAAAACTCAAGAAAAGAAAAATAAATAGTGAGGCTTTGAAAAGCAATTGAATCAATTCAAAAATAATTAAGATATTTAGGAATACTAGCTTTGATGGTTATATATTACTTTTAATATGATAAACGCTTCAGTGCCTTTGTACTATTTTTTTCTCTATTCATTTTTTTCTTAAAAAAATCTAAATAACAGACTAGCAAGTTATGACTTTGTTGTGATCGTTTTAGAAAGCACAGGAATTTACAGTAATTGTTTAGTAATTGTTGCTACATCTTTCTTAGTGTATATTTCTCTTCTGCTCTTTCTAGGTCAAGCTGGGAACTTCCAGACTTGAGAGAAGGACGTGTAAAAGCCATCAGTGACTCTGATGGAGTGAGCTATCCCTGGTATGGGAACACCACAGAAACAGTTACCTTGATTGGTCCTACCAATAAGGTTTCCAGGTTTTCAGTCAGTATGAATGACAATTTTTATCCTAGTGTGACATGGGCTGTCCCTGTGAGCGATAGCAATGTGCCACTATTGACTAGGATCAAACGGGACCAAAGTTTTACTACATGGTTAGTGGCCATGAATATGACTACTAAGGAAAAAATAATTTTGCAGACTATAAAATGGAGGATGAGAGTAGACATTGAAGTTGATCCCATGCAGCTCTTGGGCAAGCGAGCCCGCCTGGTGGGGAAAACTCAACAGGAGCAGCCTAAGATTTTGAGCAGAATGGAACCCATCCCACCAAATGCACTAGTGAAACCCAATGCCAATGATGCCCAGGTCCTCATGTGGAGGCCTAAGAGAGGTCTGCCTTTGGTAGTGATACCACCAAAATAAAATAAAAAAGCATTTAAATGAGGACTTTTGCCACTCTAGAATGGATATCTGAGCCAAAGAAGACCTTTCAGGTTCATCTGCCTTTTGTTACTGCAAGTGTGAAGAGGGCTTCTTCAATATAGTGTTAGATGGCAATGGCCAATTATGTGCCACTGCAGAACAGTTGAATTTCTGGACTTTGGAAGAAGAAATGTTATTCTATGCTTTCAGGGGCATTCTCATGAAGAAGAAAGTTTCTATTCTTAATCTTGAAATATAATGAATATGAATATAATTTTCAGTGCCTGTGGCTAATGCTGCTTCCCAACCAATTAAATGTGATTATAAAGACTGTTCTTATGAGATATTTATGGAGTCCTGTTATGTTGCTTGATTTCTGCTGGTTTAGGACAGGAAGGGATGACATATTACCACATTATAGCTATGCATTATAATTGATAATCAGAATGATCTGTCTGCTCATTGGAATGAAGAGAATGTTTACAAAAAGAAAATACTGTCAGTTTAATCTCATCAGTATAAAAAGAGCAGTTCTATCCACAAGGAACTATCCATAGTGCTGAATTTTGAAAATCAGGACCTTCATCTAATCAACTTCTTTCTGGGGCTAATTATTTGGATTAATGAAATTAAGACTTTTTGCATGTTTTTCAATGTGTTCAAGTAATTGTAACTCTAGGAACTTTGCCATAGAGTTTTACCAAGGTATAGGTGAAATCCAAGGTAAATAACTGGCAACAGCCTAAGTATTTAAGAAATGCTTGTTTTCATATACCATCTCTGTTATTTACACAGACTTAATGGATATCTGCGCATAGCATGTTTTTTTCAATTTTTTTGGGGGGGGGGAGAGAGGGAGAAATAATTAATTACATTTGGGATGGAGGTGTTCAGATGTTCAGAAAGTTAGGTGCAATACAGCTCACTATCAGCATTGTAAAACAAAATGATCTGAACTGTTACTAAATATGGATAAAAAGGGAGACTTTGAAAATTCAGTATGTGTCACGTCTCTGCTGGGCTGTGACATCTTTACTTGTGGGGGTGGGGAGAAGGGCATTCAGAGCAGGGGAACACCTAGGGAATAAAAGCATTACTTTGTAATATGGGCGAAAAAATCCAGATAACATTTTGCAAGAGTAGACATTATTCAAGGGCTACCATTTGAATAATGGGAAACTTCCCAAAATACTTTTCCCCAACTTAAATGTAGCTAGGGAAGGTATTTTATTTTCTCACGTTTGAGAAGAAATACATAGTTTTAGATTAAATAATGAAAATGAAAAGTTAATGGGTATTTTACCTTCTCTTGCATTTTTTTGAGAATTCATTAGGGCCATTGATTTGTCCCAATTCTATTTAATGTGATGATCATATCTAAACAAGAAAATAAATGTAGTTATGAATTTTAGCTTATAAGATCTTCAAAGATGTGTTTTAGCTTATTTCACTTTCTATATAATTGTTCTGGGAATCTTTGAGAAAGAGAATAAATAACTATAGTTCCAGCTTTGCTTTTTCATCCCATATTAAGAGCTTTAAGAGCAAAGACGGTCCTATAGAAAGCTCCAAAATTTAAAGTCCATCCCCTCCCAAAAAATATTGTGTTTTTACCTTCTATTTAACTTTCATATATGGGATGTATAGCTAAGAAATAGTGGATAAAATTATATACAATGGATATCAGTTCAGGAATGTTTGAGGAATATATACCGTGTTTCCCTGAAAATAAGACCCTGTCTTATATTTTTTTGAACCCTAAAATAAGCACTTGGCTTTATTGCCATGCACTCAAAAGCCCGATTATTATCAGGGGATATCTTATTTTGGGGAAACAGGGTAAGAATGAGCAAATAGTATTGAAAAGTATTTTTCAAGTATATAGGGATTATATTTCCCAAAGAGAAGCATGGTCTTATGGGTCATTTTATTTTCCATATCTGAGCGTACAATGCTCTAAATATTGGGCATTTATACCTCTATCTATTTATGTATCTATCTATCCATCCATCCATTCATCCATCCATCCATCATTTATCCATCTAGATTGGATATGAAAGATTTGGATTATTCTTCTAAACCTTGGCAGTTTTCTTGACAATTGACTGCATTTGCAATAATTCTATCCTAAATTCTATCTTTTGGGGAGAACACCTTCCAAGTCCATTAGGACTACATTTTGGCTGCCCTTCTTAAAAGCTTAAATGCAATTCCTTCCTCCTTACATTAGCACTGGTTTTAATTTCATTTTGATATTGATCTGCCTCACTATAAAATGCATATCACAGAATGATCCCATTGCTGCCATGTTTCCCTATAGAATTTTATTACTTCTACATCTACATTTATATGAATCCTGTTATACTAGCAGAATATAAGAACTCTGAACATCAATAATATACATATTATTCAAGATTTCTAAGAAATTACATTAAAGAGTTTTGAAATAACTTCCACAAATTCCTTAAGCATTTGGGAGTTTATATTACCTCAGAGGCATTCACTCATTCATAGTTCATACATAGATTTAAACATCTTGCTCATTCTGGGCTGCATGATCTTCCTTACACCATTTGTTTTCCTTGTTTCAGGTTGAACAACTTGTGGAAGAGGACAGAGACAAAATAGGAACAAGTAGTTGTCAGGCACAAGAATTTAGGAAGCAAGTCAGTTCAAATGATTAGAGGTTTATTACATGCTAACACTCTACAAATTCTGCATTCTCTAGAGGCTCACAGAAGCAAAAAGGGTTATGTAGGACATTAGATCCAACTCCCTGATCAGTGTAAATTAAATAATCCTCGGGTGGTGGCAGTCCAGCCTCTGTTGAACACATCAGGTGAGTGGAAAGAAATACATCTGTAAATATTTTGTAATACTAATAACTTAAGCCCCTTTTATTTTTTTGTCTCTAATTTAGCAGGCGAAAATTCAAATTGTTTTTAGCAACCTTTACAAATATGGCTTGTTTTGGATTGCATGTTTGATTCTCTATTGCACTTTTCACCAATTATAAGATTAAATTTTTAATTTGTCTTTTTGGCAGGAATCCATTTTGGTCAGGATTATAAAGTTATTCAAATATCTCTTAAGCCTTTCTGCCAGTATCGTAGCAAAGATTTTATAGTCCGCGTTTAGCAGGGATGTAGGTCTATAGTTTTTGATTAGTTGTGGGCCTGTCTCTTCTTTGTGTATCAATGTAATATAAGCCTCAGTCCATGTTTTTGGTATTTCTCTTTTTATCATTACTTCATTCATAATCTCCAAGCATTGGGATCAATAAAGATTCTTGTGGCCGGCATGACTAAATGCCAAAGGCGCACAGAACGCTGTTACCTTCCTACCAAAGGTGGTCCCTATTTTTCTACTTGCATTTTTTACGTGCTTTTGAACTACTAGGTTGGCAGAAGCTGGGACAAGTAACGGAAGCTCACCTGTTACACGGCACTAGGGATTCAAACTGCTGAACTGCCGACCTTTCGATTGACAAGCTCATCATCTTAGCCACTGAGCCACCACTTTCCTTTTTAAGTCTTATCTAATTAAAGAACTTCCTATGTAGCCAGGCTAGATCCTTTAGATCAGGGGTATCAAACTCAAGGCCCAGGGGCTGGACCCAGCCCACTGGGAGCTTAGATGTGGCCCACAGGGCTGCCCTGGAAACAACGAAAGACTGGCCCGTGGGGCCTCTGCCAGCAAAAACGGAGCTTGGGAGGGTGGCCCTCCTGAGCTCCATTTTCCCTGGCAGAGGGTTGCAGGAGGCCATCACAGCTGAAAACTGAGCTCATAAGGGCCACTGTTGGCATTCCCAAGCTCCGTTTTCCCTGGCAGAGAGTTGCAGGAGGAGCCAGTTTTCGCTGGCAGAGAGCTCTGGCCACCACAGGTCAAGTGGTGTCAAGTGACGTCGAGTTGGCCATGCTCACTGTGGCCCCCCCGAGGTCAAGCACAACTCTGATGTGGCCCTCAATGAAATTGAGTTTGACTAAAGCTTTAGATGTTCCATTTTCTCCTTATTTGAAACAGTTATTTATTTGTATTCCACCTTTATTATTTTTACAAATAATTCAAGGTGGTGAATATATCCCACAAACCTTTCATCTATTTTCCCCACAATAACCCTGTTAGGTGGGTTGAGGTGAGAGAGAGTAGCTGCTCCAAAATCACCCAGCTGGCTTTCATGGCTAAGAGGATTTGAATTCGTGGTCTCCCACTTTCTAGCCTGGTTTCTTAATCACTAGACCAAACTGACTCTCTTTCCCTTTTATCCCTTTATTCTTTCAGTTTTCAGAATCATTCATCTTGTTTGAATTCTTTTCCCCCTTCTCTCAAAATGTCTAATTATGACATTTAAGTTATGTCTAACTTTTTTTCTGAAATTTTGATAACAACTTTCCTAAATTTCAGGAAGTTTACACTAAGTTTTCTGACTATTACGACAACATGTAGTTCTTCCCTATTGATCAAAATTAATCCCAGAAGAGCCAGTCCTTTTGTCCTTTCTTCTATCTTCTGAGAAATTAAATCATACGTTTAATATACAATGACAAATATATTCCTTTTACCCACATTTCTACCTTATTTGCCTGCCTAGCAGGATCCTGTAAGTAGAGAATCATAGAACTGAAAGATTCATTGTAGTCAATTGCTAACATAGTGCAGACATCTAAATTAGATTCCCAGACAGTATCTGGCCTCTGCTTAAACCCATCCTTATTGAAATTGTTTCCACTTGTTTTCTGAATAATTGGACCAATTCTTGAACTTCTCTATTAGGATTTATTTTCTAGTACTCAGTCAGAATTTGCCGTCTCTTAAACTCACCACTTTGTGTTCTGCATTCTAAGATGATAGAGAGTAAGACTTAAGGTTCATCTGTGAAATTCAGAGTATTTGAAGATTTAATATCAATTCTGGAAATCATATTTTGATGCAGTTTAACATTGCATTTGCCTTGTTAGCATCCACATCACTCTGTTAATTCGTATTCTATAAACTCCTATCCCAAGATTTCTCCCACAAGTGCTATTATCAAATCATGTTTCCCCTATCCTTTATCTCTGCATTTCCAAACATGCCTAGATAGATCAGCCTCCAAGGCCAGCTCAGTCTGATTTGGTCAATGCCCTGCAGAAGAAGATACATTTTAAGTTCAAACCTCAACAAGTAATGGTCTGCCCATAGCAAATCTATTGTCTGCGATCCCCATACTACTACTTCCTAAGAAAACTTGCTCCATATGTATGTGCATTGCTTTTTGTTTTCTAAATGAAGAACTTCACATTTGCCCCAGATACATTTCATTCTATTACTTTCACCCAATTCTCTATCAAAACTATTTTGAATGTTTTTTACAATATTGGGCATCCCTTGTATCATCTCTGGATTTGAAAAGTATTTGTTCTGTAATGTTGACTTTAATAAAAATGTGAGAAGTTAGTGCCCAAAAAGGAACTTTGCAGTATTCTGCTCAGTCTCATAAACCAGCTTCCTTATAAACCTTCCTAGAATCTTCTTAAGTACTGATTTCAGAGTGACTCAAATTCCCTTACCTCCTCCGTTTTTCACATACAATCAACACTGCTCTCCTCCAGTTGTCAGGTTCTTCATACTTTCTCCAGGCTTGCTAAAAGATAACATGCATAAATGTTTTGGTCAGGTTATCAGGAACTTCCATCAGAACCTTAGAATTTAATCGTAGTCATGGAGTTCATTCAAAGAAAATAGTAACATAGTCAGCAAATACCTATAGCTTTTAAAATTTAATTTTGCTTTATTATGCTCTTGTTGAATGCCTACTCTTTGGTACAAGAAATAAAAATCAAAGTAGAAGAGGAGATTTTTGTAATTTATTAGCATTTTTCCTCATGACTGACAAACCAATGATTCTTTATTCTTAATCTGAATATTTAATTTCTTTGTAAACCTCAGCTCATTTTAGCTTTGCTGACACTTCTATAGTTCCAGTCTATCTGTCTATACAACTAGTCCTTGATTTACAACTATTGATTTAAGAACAGTTTGAAATTATGAAGGCCTCAGAAAAAGTGGCTTGCTACTTATCCTCAAAGTTACTACCAACCTCCCCTATGGTCATGTGATCACAATTTGGATGCTTGGCCATTAACTCGCATTTATAAGTTGCAGCATTCTGTAGTCATGTGATTGTGATTTGCAACTTTCTGGCTTCTGACAAGTAAAGTCAATTGGGAAGTCAGATTCCTCCAGTGACCACATTATTTGCTTAATAACTTTGGTAATTTGCTTAATGACAGTGCTAAAAACCATAAATTTGGATCCAGTCACATGATGACTTCTTTAACAACTGCATCATGTAACAACTGAAATTCCGGCCCCAACTGTGGTTGTAAGTCAAGGACTACCTGTATTTTCTTGGTGTCTAAACCCCATTAACTTTTTTTTCACATTGTTAGAAAGCGTTTGGGTTTTTTTTGTAACTACACTGAGTCAAGATTGACTCAGCCTTCCATCCTTCCATGGTTGGTAAAATGAGGACCCAGATTGTTGGGGACAATATTCTGACTCTGTAAACCACTTAGAGAGGGCTGTAAAGCACTGTGAAGAGGTATATAAGTGCTATTGCTATTTTAGTGGTCTCCATTCCCCACTCCCAATTATTTTTGCAGTTATGTTTTGGAGTTCTCATTTTTAGGAGAAATATCTTGTGCTTCATTTCCCATTAATTTCCTCAGCTGTGGGAACCTGCTCATAATTACACGTTTATTCATATGTACTTTCTTGAAATTCAAGATGCATGCTTGACTACACTCAACTTTAGTTTCCCTTATAGTTTAATTTCCCTTCATTTACTCCTGCTTTTTCTACTTTGTCACTTAAAGCTTCTGTACTGATTAATGTTGCATAGCATAGGGTCAGGTTATTTGCTGAATCACTTTTCTCCCATTGTTTCTACTCATGCCACCAGATCTAGAGAGAAGGCATACTGTAGGCCCCCTCTATTAAATTGTTATTTGCTTGGAGCCATGAATTATGTCTTTTCTATGTCATTGCCTGCCTTGTGGAACATCATTCTGAAAATCTGGATGTCACCAACTCTATTATCCTTTTTAAAGCTCTGAACACCTGGCATTTGGGTTAAGTTGGTTCTGTCTTTGTTGCATGTTTATAATTGGAAAGTGTTATTTTCCTAGGACAGTGAGAATGTTCCTGGCAGAACTATTCTTTTGTCTCAGATTTTATGTCAGGATAATTAAAGTTTGCAACTACTTCATTCCTTTTTGAAACTTTTAAAGTTATTTTTGGAAGGCATTTCTCTTTGGTTGGACGAGCAATAAATGAACACCAAAAACAGTATTGCTTTTATTTGCATTTCCTTTATTTTTTACAATTCTGTTAAATTCATTCACTTGGTTTTCTGTGCATGCCTCAATACTTTTAACGTACAGTACAATCCTCTCTCTCTTTTCTATTACTTCTGATCCTTTTGAATAAAATTTTGCAAACATGGATGTCATCCCGCCAGACTATAGAGTATCTCTTTTTCTACCAGAAGGCTGAAAAATCTATTTCTTCTGTCTGCCTATAAAACCTGTTTCTCACTTCTGGCAGTGCAGAATAACTTCTGCTTTGCTTATTGTTGTCATTCCTGTCCATTGATCTTGATTGTCTTGTTATAGTAAATTGCGTCTTCTATCAGCCATTACAATTTTCTTTGTTGAATTAGTAAATCTTTCTCATCAGTTGAGTTGTGTTCATTTGCTGCTCCGATCCTTTAACTTTTTTTTTCAAGTAGTTCCTATACAGATAGTCCTTGACTTACAACCATTTGTTTAGTGACTATTTAAAGTTACAACGGCACTGCAAGAAGTGACTTGTGACCAGTTTTCATACTTACAACCATTGCAGCATTCCCATGGTCATTGATCCAAATCCAAATACATGCAACCAGCATGTATTTATGAGAGTTGTACTATCCAGGGGGCATGTGGAACACCATTAATAACCTTCCCAGTTGACTTCCAACAAAGTGAAAGGGGGGAGCCAGATTTGCTTAACAATTGCACAGTTCACTTAACAACTGCAGTGATTTGTTTAACAATTGTGCCAAAAAAGGGGGCACAACTCACTTAACACCTGTCTTGTTTGGCAATGGAAATTTGGGGCTCAATTTGTGGCCATAAATAGAACACTATATGATGTCTCCCTTGGATGACTTGTGGGGCAGCATAGACTACCTGTAAAGTCTGTATTCAGATGTGCCAAAGGAGATCTCCTTTGAGAAATAGTCACTCAGGAAGGAAATAATCACTCAGGAAGGAAATAGTCACTCAGTTCTCCCAACAGGCATGAGCTTGTCACTCTTTACAATTGACTATACTGTCCATCCAATTACAACTTACCTGAATCTTTCCTTCTTTTCCACAACATTACTTTTGTTAAAGTACACTACCAAATCCCTGCTCTCTTTTTGTCATCCTAATTTTAGTTTTAGCCAAATGAGCTGAAGTTTCAAGTGACCATATCCTCAGAAAAATATATTGCATTAGGGTACAGAATAAAAATCCATAATTTTGTTCCATATGTGGAATTGGGTTTAAAGTTCTTCCAAAGCTTGATTCCCTTTTGCACATGCCTATCACATCTATGCCTCTACAGCACAAGTTCTAGCCTCCAGCAGAGAAGTTTGTGGTTTACTTTCCAAATATTTCCCTTGTAGGAGAAAAATAAGTAAATGGTTTCTGAGCACCTTTATATATGGGGTCAGTGGATAGCATCTCTGGAGTTTGACTTTCAAATTAGAACCTATATTCATCATGTTCAATGGCATTCTAGTGGGAGAATCATTCACACTTCTGTTCTCTGTGTACCGTATTACATAGAAAAGCAGCCCTGCCGAGCCATAATTTGTGTAATTTCATATCCAATTCTGTATTTGTTTTATATCAGGAAAATGAGCACTCATTGTGCTCTGGATTGTAACATTAACCAATTTAAATAGGTTGTGTTTATTCTACTTATTTTTTTACATTTAATTTTTCATTTGCACTGAGCTAGTTTCCTTCTATAATGTATGGTGGATATTTGTACTGAATAAAGCAGTTATGGGGGGGGAGTGCTTTCCACATACTTTATTTACTTTAAGTGTCCACCTTGTATATTCTCTCTGAGATATGGCTTAAGAGTAGAAAAGAACTTCTGCTAAAGGGAAAAAGTGAAAAAAATTAAACACTTTTTTTCATAGAATTTCTTGACACTTTATTTTGATCTTTTTTCTTTATGGTATTTTTCTTTTGGCAGTTATTGTCAGATACATTAATGGGTACAGAGACCCTTGCAACTCACTCTGGAGAGAAAAATAGGCAGTCTGCTATTGGGGAAGACAGGGAAAAAAATATGGGAACTGTTTTTGCAGAGTGCCTTAAAACAATAGAAACTAACCTGGAATGGGGAAAATTTTGTCTTTATCACTGGCTTTTACAAAAGCTTTAATATTGCACTCCAATTCTCTGGGTTTTAAAAAAAAAAACGTTAAATACATTTCCAAAACAAAAGACCACTTCCTTTGTTTTAGAAAACGGGATAGTTTTAAACATCTGTTTTGATGAACCTCTGACATATTTTAAACAGGGTAAATTAGAAAAGATAAAAGGTTTGGTGCAATCAGATGAAAATCTGACAGTATAAACAAAACTTCTGACACTTGCCTTTTCCAATTCTTCACAAAAATTATTTGATCCTTTGCAATTGTTGCTTATTAAGTTTTAATTCAAAAATATGTAGTACGATGTCCATTGTATTGATATATGGAAAAAAGTGAAATCACTATTGCCCTTTAATTATTGTTGTTGTCTCTTTAATTTCAGGTTTATCAGTAAATCGTAAATGCACAAAGTGCTGGGTAACATTCTGTCAGAGTTGCAAAAATCAAATCCAGAAAGCACACACAGGCAGACTGATGCAGCAGGATTCATTAACTTCTTTATATACATAATAAAACATGAAGATAAATGTACAATACCAATATAGATTCTTCTTCAACGTAGTAGCAGTTACAAGCAAAACACAAGCAGCAGTACAGCAGAAATGTAAGTCCAGACTGGTTTCAGTTTCGTTTCTCAGCACAGCCCACAGCTGAGCCACGCCCAGCCTCCAAACTTTCAGCTCCCATTGGCTGACTTAGTTGCTATGCCTATTTATTGACTGATCTTCATGACTGGAAGAGACATAAATCCAATTTACTTAATATTCTTCCCATGACCTGTATTTGAAAACCCACATTGACAGTTCCCTTCAAATACCTGAGAGCCCTTTTACATCCTTTGCAATGAAACAAAGATCATCCACAAATGCTAATAGTTGACAATCCTCTCCTTGTAACTTTCCAGTGTATATACAACCATCAGCCTTGCAACTCTTGAACCCAAGACCCTTCAATGCAGTATCTAGACATATATTACAATTCCTGGCTGACTGCTTCAGCCCATAAATACCCTTGTTCAATTTATACACCATGTTAGGCTTTTTACTTTCATACCCTGGTGCTTGAACCATGTAAATTTCTTCCTCTAATTCTGCATTGAGGAATGCTTTGTGTCAACTTGCAAAGCTTTCAAGTTGCCATGAGCAAGAGGGAGGGAGAACTGATAGAGCTGATTGATTTCCCTAACTGAAGTGCATTCCATACATTCTTCCTGACCGCAATCAGAAGGAGGGTGTTGGATTTCACAGCCAGCCAAAGTGGTTAATTGGAGAATGTGATTTATGACATGGCCAGAGAGGAGGGGAGAGACAGAGTCATAGGGGAACGTAAATCTACGTGGGATTAGTTCTAACTGCATCCGAACATTGCCGAAATGGTGCTCCTAATAAATGACTGTATTTCTTTTGAAGTTCGGCTCATGGCTCATGAATTAATTTGGGCATCTTTCGGAAACTTCACAGACAGTTAGAACTATTTTTAAAATCTATCAAGATTACCAGGTTTCCTGAATCCTGGACTCTCCAACCGCTCCCCGATGTCTGGGGTGCTGGGAGGGAAAATCAGGCAACCATGGCCGAAGACGGGCTATCTGAAGAGAACCTAATTGCAGCCAGAGTGCAGCCTCCCTTAGACATCAAAGCTGAGATGCCGGCTCCAGCGGCGGAAGCAAGAAAAGATAAGTATTGGTGGGAGTTAATCCCTAAGACAGCTGAGGTCGAGTTCCCCCACCCCAATGCCTGGGAAAAGGGGAAGCCCCTGAGCGAGCTGGGAAGAGTGGAATGGAGGTTGGATTGGAAACAAGCCAGGCTCCCAAAGCCCCTGGGGAGTTCCAGAGAGCAGCCGAGGGAGGAATTTGACCAAGCCACCCTTCCTGATGAGGGGCTGTCATGCAGGCCAAAGGGGAGGGGAGGAGCAGTGGATTCCTTTGAAGTGAGGAGAAGCAGACAGGAGCACATCCCCCCTTCTCCACCCATAAGAAGGAGGCCGCAACCAGTGTCTTTCCCACGCAGCAGGCAGGCTGCCCAGGGCAGACAAACCCCTCTCTCCCTCCAAACTAGAGCTGAGGAAGAGGGCCTTAGCTCAGCCTTTCATCCGAGCACCAACGGGGGTGGGGGGGGGCAGAAAGACTGAATGCCATGGTAGAGCAGTACCTGAACTATCAGCAGTCCAATTGGGCGGACGTCCTGTCTTTTGCTGAGGTCGCGTATAATAATGCTGTTCACAGTAGCTCGGGGCTAACCCCGTTTAAGGTAGTGAGCGGCATGGACTTTGTCCCAATGCCTGAGTACCCAAGGGAGCCTCCCTCCTCAGTCAGCTTGACCGATTGGATGGCGACATTGAAAGCAACCTGGGAGAATGTCAAGAAAGCGCTAGCTAAAGCAGCACAAACCTATAAGAAACAGGCAGACAAACACCGAGCTCCCCAAAGGCCATTTCAATTGGGGGAGAAAGTTTACCTCTCCCCAAAATATTTGAGGTTAAAACTTCCTAGCAAGAAATTGGGACCAAAGTTTATGGGACCATTCCCCATAGTAAAGATAATCAACCCAGTCACAGTGCAATTGAAGTTGCCCTGACTGCTAGGGAAGATACACCCGGTATTCCATAGTAGCCTCTTAAAACCCGTGGTCGGATCGACCCTGAGGCCACTACCCTGTGAGTCCCCAAACCCCATGGTCATAGGGGGCCAGACCCATTATGAGGTGCAGCAAATCCTCAATTCAAGGTGGCACAGGAGACAACTCCAATATTTAATCAAGTGGAAGGGTTACCCCTTATCAGAGGCATCTTGGGTAAAGAGTCAAAACATCCAGGCTGATCGCCTTATAGCCAAATTTCATGCAGAAAATCCAAACAAGCCAGGTGGGGGGTCATGTCCCTAAACTCTGCATCTGTATTCAAATTGTTTTGCTTTGCGCAGGTCGCCCTCGGGAAGTGAGGGGAGCCGAATGTCAACTTGCAAAGCTTTCAAGTTGCCATGAGCAGGAGGGAGGGAGAACTGATAGAGCTGATTGATTTCCCTAACTGAAGTGCATTCCATACATTCTTCCTGACCGCAATCAGAAGGAGGGTGTTGGATTTCACAGCCAGCCAAAGTGGTTAATTGGAGAATGTGATTTATGACATGGCCAGAGAGGAGGGGAGAGACAGGGTCATAGGGGAATGTAAATCTACGTGGGATTAGTTCTAACTGCATCCGAATATTGCCGAAATGGTGCTCCTAATAAATGACTGTATTTCTTTTGAAGTTCGGCTCATGGCTCATGAATTAATTAGGGCATCTTTCGGAAACTTCACACTGTGATTATGTCAAAATGCTAAATTTTATGGCCATGTGCTGCTGCTAATGCTAGTGCCAGCCTTATGCTTTCACTCTTTACTGTAGGCACGAATACCTCATCATAGTGCACATTTTTCATCTGTGAAAAACATTGTGCCACTAATTTTGCTTTATATTGTATCTCGTTGGGTATCTTCTTGTATACCCACTCGTTGGGTTTTTTCTTGTATACCCACTTGCATCCTACGGCTTTGCTACCGTGTGGCAAAGTCAAAGATGTGAACACTTTATGTTCATCCATGGATTTCATTTCCTTGTCCATGGCTTCTTTCCACTTTTTTTGTTCAATTTTAGGTAATGCCAACACGGCTCATACCATACATTACACACTTTTACTTTACTAGCAGAATACCTGTCAGGTGGAATCCCCTTGTTCCATCTCTCTGAGCTGCATGGCATTGTGTTTCTTTCTTTTTTAAAAATTTTTATTATATTACATTACAGTACAATACAAGTAAAATCAGTTAGACAGTGGTATTTTCTATACAGATTAGATTCATTCTTTTGTTATAGTGCCTCCTAATTTACCTATTCGTTCTGCTCCTGTGTTTCAACTCTCTCGTGTGTCATATCTTTTGCAGCTTCTCCTCCCTGAATGCTGACACCGTTACTAAGTTACCATCACTAAGTGGATCACCATCACTAAGTGAATCATTTCAAAAATTTGCATAAATTCTGTTTCAATTTTGTTCTGCAAAACTAGCAGACCTGGAAATCACTATTCTTTTGCTTCCATCGCTAAAATGATAGCTTCTTGAACCAGGCTCATACCCCATAAACCTGAGTTTTCTAGCCTTTGGTTAGAGCAGCAGTACAGCAGAAATGTAAGTCCAGACTAGTTTCAGTTTCGTTTCTCAGCACAGCCCACAGCTGAGCCACACCCAGCCTCCAAACTGTTTCAGCTCCAATTGGCTGATTTAGTTGCTATGCCTATTCATTGACTGACCTTGTTACCATGTCTCTGCTAGTTCATGAATAATCTGACACATTCTGAGTTTAAACTTGAGAAACTTTCTATCTGTAAAATCTTTTTAAAAGGCAGACAATCAAGTTTTTACAAAACAATATTTGGGTGGAATGAGGAGGGATTGTTAAGGAGGTGGCAAACACGTAATATAATATCAATTTTCTTTGTTCTTTTTAAATTCTAGATAAGCATCCTTATAGAATTCTACCCCACGCTTTCTCCTTTTCTCCTTTTTCTCTCCTGGCTTCCCATTATTTTCTTTTTCTTTGTACTTTATATTATGATAAACTAAAAAATTTTAAACCAAAAAGAAACAGTGACCAAACAAAAAGGATACTTTTATAAATCCTAATACTTGTATAAATGCACAGACACATACATACCCTTGGCCTCTAGAAATGGCTCATGGATGCAGTCAACTGGAGGATCAGAGTGTATGGAACAGAGGGAAAAAAAGGGAGAGAACATCCTATGTAAGTGCAATTCATGAGACGCTTAATTAGATCTTAACTAAATGACTGACATGGATGATAAAAAGGATTATATGATTCAGTAACATTTTCTGCATGACCAGAATAGATGGAAGTGGTAGGACAGCTGACAACAGAAACAAAAAAGCTAAGACGTATAATATGAGGAAGAGCAGGAAGCATATTATGTGTCAGCATTGGAAGCCATATTAGGCCGGAAGCTTCAATGCTGCCACCTCCTCGTGTGGGAAAGTAGGAGGGGGGATTTAGGAGAGGGGAATTAGTAGACATAATAGCATTCTTCCTATTGGTCAAGGTCAGGGCGATCCAGTATCTGGAGGAGGAGTGGTCGGGGGCTGGGTCGAGGTGGAACGGACGTTGATTGGAGCATGTGATTGACTGGGGAGAAGGGGGATGGTTTGGGGAGCTTTGAATTACTGAAGGAAAGCCCAGGCTTTTCAGATTCGGGATTTCCCAGATGTGCCTATTCTAGTAAAGAGAACTTTGGAAAATGCCTGCTTCCGCGTCTTTACTGGGAGTTAGAGGTTTTCTGGAACACTGACATTATCCCAAATCTCTCTAAAACCTAACAGCACCCCGTAAGGGGCTGTCGGGTACTGAGCCCCAGCATCGACCTAAAACCCCAGGTGATGCAAAGACTCAGTGAAGATGGAGGAGAAAGGAGAAATCAGAGGGAGGCCTGCCAGGGCCCCGGATGCTCGAGGAATTGCCGATCCCTTGTATGTTCTTTCTGAAGAGATGGGATGAGCCATGGAGGCTGCAGAGGAAGCCCTTTGACTTGGGGCTTGGGCCGAGGCATCAGATTCCTGGGAGAGTTTTGAGCGGATGGAAGGGGAGAGCTTCGCACCCCCCCTTCCCAACCCCTAGAGGTGAGCTGGAAGCTAGCGAAACCAACATTTGCCCTCCCTGATCTGGGACATGGAGGAGGAATTTGTAGGACGCAGACCCCCCCTTACCCACCCAGAGGCCAAACAACCGGATTAGCGCAACATTCCAATCCTGCAGCAGTGGGGCATCAGGCTCAGACGGCATACGGAAGGCAAAACCCCCCTTTTTGGGTCCCTCGCCATCCTGCGTTAGCATTACCTCCTGCGGAGAGCGTACTGCCCGGATGGGCTTTCTGTCCCGGCCAGGGATGGATCCAGTGCCAGTGGTATCCTGTGCCGTCTATTCCAAGCCTCCAGGGATCCCCCTGGCCCCCCTCCTATGGCCAAATGATCCTGGCACTGCAAGGAGGACTAATCCAGCAGCCGGCTGGAGTGCCCCCCCTCCAGCGCAGCAAACAGCTCAGCAGCCAGGCCCCCTCCCCCAACAGCCGATGCCGTTGCCCCCCCCTCCAGCCCAGCAAGCTCTTACACCAGCCTGTTGGAATGCAACAGCTTGTTGGAATGCAAAAACCAGGAGCAGCGCCACAGCAAGTTCTACCCCAACCAGCCACGGCTGCTGCCCCCCCACCTGCGAGGCCACCACCACCCCGCTTCAGAGCAACCTTTGACAGGATGCCAGCCAAGCTAGCTTAGTTCCTCAGCAGGGTCTGGGCTCACATGGATCAGTATGGTGAGCAATACGAATCAGAACAAGACTTAGTGTCAGCAATCGCAGATGGAATGAATGAGGGGGAGGCTTCTGAATGGATAGCCCAGCTGCACAATGAGGGCGCTGTTGAACTGAATGATGCCAATGGGTTTATCACAGAGCTCCAGTCCTGATTTGAGGACCCAGACCGCGTAAATGAAAACGAAGCCACGCTAAAGGTCATGAAGCAAGGTAATCAACCCATAAAAGACTTTGTATGGGACTTTAGACGCGTCACAGAGAATCTAGGCTGCATACTCCTACACTACTTTAAACAAGCTATTGACCCAGAAGTCAGAAAAGCCTGTGGGATCCGGGGGGTGCCTGAGCATCTCCACGACTGGTATACCATGTCCATTGCTCTAGACAGAGAAGTCCACCCCCCCCCAGCCAAAGCCCAGCACAGCAGCCGCCTCGAAAAGCGTTATCTAAAAAGCCCATTTCAAAAGCTACAAATCTCACCCCCCCTCAACCATGGGAGGGGGGCGATTAAGTGCTATCGCTGTGGACAGACAGGACATCGAGCTTCTGAGTGCCTAGCTCTGCCCCAGTTCCACAACAATGACCCGCCACAGCTGCACGAGGCAGGAGGGCTCCAAGGAAAGTCCCAGACACCAGCCGATTTGTCAGACAAGCCATGGAGATTCCCCTCCCCACTGAAGAGAGTGAGGACCCTCCGGCAAAAGGAGCCCCTCCCGACGTGGCTAGCGGAGATGAAGATCCGATGGTGAGTGCACCCATCTCCCCCTTCTCAATTAAAGTAAAACTAGTGCTGCTAGAAACAGGGAAACAAGCAGAACTCCCAGCAATAATAGACACCGGCTGCACCAGATGTTTAATCGGGCTTAAAGTGGTAGAACAGCTGGGGATCAGAACAACACCCTTAAAGCACCCAATTAAATTTCACCAGGTGGATGGGACGTTGATTGGGGGAGTCCCTGCCACCCATATTACTGAACTGATTAAATTAGAGATGGGGAAACATCATGAACTTATACGATTTATAGTAACCCCAAAGATGTCAGAATCTATCATACTGGGCCTGGCTTGGCTGGACAAATGGGGCCCCACCATCACATGGGAAGATGGATATCGAGAAATCAGAATAGGGGTTGGTCCAACACCCCCTGCCCCTCCCCCCAAACACCATCCTACCCAGAATGGCCAGCAGCCAGAAACAGCAGCAGCTTGTTCGGACGGGCCTCCAGGTGAACACCAAATCCCTAAAGCGTATGCAGACTTAGCCGAAGCCTTCAGTGAGGAGGAATGTAACCTACTCCCCCCTCACCGGCCCACAGACTGCACCATCGAATTACAACCGGGGGTTAAATTGCCAAAACCTACAATGTACTCCATGACACTTGCTGAGATGACTGAGTTGAGGAAGTACATTGACACCAACCTAGCCAGAGGGTTCATCGAGCCTGCGAAATCCAGCATGGCCGCCCCAGTATTGTTTAAAGAGAAAAAGGATGGTACTTTAAGATTATGTATCGATGTTCGGTCTGTCAATGCCATTTGCATACAAAATGCCTACCCCTCCCACTGATGAAGGACTTACTGAACCATCTGTCAAAAGGAAAAATTTTCACCAAGCTAGATCTAAGAGAAGCCTATTACTGAATTCGCATAAGGGAGGGAGACAAATGGAAGACTGCTTTCATCCCCTTGGCTAGCTTCCAATTCCAGGTCATGCCTTTTGGACTCCAGGGGGCCCCAGGGGTCTTCATGCAACTGATCAACGAAATTTTTCATGAGCATTTATATCGGGGTTCTTGTTTATCTCAATGACATTCTTATATTCAGCGAAAATATGGAAGACCATGTCAAATTGGTCAGACAAGTGCTGAAAAAACAACTAGCAGCCAAACTTT